TAATTGTAGCACCACAACCCAGGCGGAGTTGTTAGCAACAATGTAACAATACTAAGAGTTATCCTCGATTCTTGATTTAAAGAGTGAATGGAACAGTTACAACACGAGAAACTTAAATGTTATGATCCATTATGTTACAGGTATAGGAAAATATCTATACACATAATAAAATTGTAACTAAGTCGAATCTGTACATTAAATATTTTTTGGGAAATCTAATCGAAATAGACATTATTATCGATACAGAGTCCGAATCTATAGTTTTTAGAATTTTTGTCTGTCTGTCTGTTACCGCATCACGAGAAAACCACTGCACAGATTTTGATGAAATTTGGTATGATGATAGCTAGTTACCCGGGTCAACATATAGGATACTTTTTACCGCGGGAAAATATCTCATTTCTGAGAAAAATACAAAAACTGTATTGTAAGAGTATACTAATATGTAAAACCTAAGAATTTGGTTTTTTGTCATCTGAAGGCGGGCGGAGCCGCGGGCAATGCTAGTTTAATTATAAAGCCAGTTTAGTCAGTTGATTTTTAAAAAGATTGAGTCGGTTCTAGAAACTGTACCTACTATTAATTGGCTCCTAATTTGTGCCTAACACGTTGGATTTCATATGTAAGTAAGCTGGTCCATGCATTCTTCTTATCAAGAGTCGACAATATATTTTGGCATTGTTACATTATTGCTAAGATGGAAAACGTTGTGGTTAGTATTTATCCAGGAATGGTCTTGCAAATAGATTTTATTTTGCAGTGCGATTATAGTGCATCCCAAAAAGATATTGACGTACAATTTCAGATATAATTTTCTAATCGGTTTTTAAATCTTTTTTCATGTACACCTACGCGATGCAGTATGAGCGCAAATAAAATTTGTTAATGTTGTGAGAAAAACCAAGTTTCTCTATGTCAATGACGTACTAATCCTTATTAATAAATAATAATAATAATGTCCTTCTGACCGATTCCGGCCACGGCGGCCAATCTCATTGAGACTAGCCAACTGCGCGGGAGATATTATAGTGCACAAGTGTACGCGCAGTCACAAGTGCACTCTCTACTCCTGTCACTCTCATACTCCGGTGGGACGGCTACTCGACACGATTGATAAGAGCTAAGGATGGCTTTACTTGCTCTCTGAGGCACGGGGTGAGGGTGAAAGTGAAATACCACCAACTTACTAACTCCGGGTCTGTTAGTGAGGCTTACTATACAGAAATACTCAATAACTAAACTTGACCCGACCCGGCATTCGAACTCAGGACCTCCGGATGTGCAGCCGTACATGCCAGTCACTACACCACCGAGGCTGTTAATCCATACTAATATTATAAATATGAAAGTGTGTTTGTTTGTTTATTTGTTTGTTTGTTGTCCTTTTATTCACCTCGAAACAACAAAAAAATATTTGATATTAATGCTCTCCAATACAATTAAATAAATACGTATTTTAGCATTTCTTGAAATTTATCCCATAAGGAAATAAAATATTTATATAATAGGGATGATTTTTTTATGAAATATACCTTTTGAGAGTTTTTTTTCAGCAGTAATCATAAATGTCAACAAATCGGGCAGACATGAATGAAACATTGTAAAGTGAAGGAAAAGAAGAGTTTGTTTTTTTGGACTTTAAACGGAGGCGAAGTCGCGGGTTCTGCTAGTAGTTGTAGCTAATATAAATAAAAATGAATCACCGAAATGTACATGTACCTACGCACATAACTTTTGATCGACTGCATGAAATTGGATAATTCTTTTTTTTGTGTTTGTTATTATCAGGACAATTTTTTCATAGAAGAAAATTAAAAGACAAAAATAATTACTAATATATTAATTAGTAATCTATATTTAGTGTTGCCATTATTATATTTATAACCATAAATAAAAATATAAAAATATAGTATTAATTATTAAAGCCATATAATTGTTCTATGTGTAATTTAAAAAAGTTAAAATTAATTACGGATAATCATTTTAATTTAGTTTGCTATTATTTAAAAACAACTTACTAAGCAACACTATTAAAATATACTTTTACAAATGAAAAATATTAATCTGATAAGCTGTCATTTTGATCTACACAGTATGAACTTACTACATCTGCCTGTCTGTTATGTTTATATTTATTATTTGATTTAATTATATTAATAACAGGATCACATGACGTACGACGACGACGACGATAATATTACCTTCTGATAAAATAACTGTATTCTTAGAACACCTTAATTCTATAAATCCTAAAATTCAATTTACAATGGAATTAGAATCGGACAAAACCTTAGCTTTCCTAGATGTATTAGTTAAACGTAACCCAGACAACACCTTGAGTCATACTGTGTATAGAAAGAAGACCCATACTGATAGGTACCTGAACGGTGAATCTCACCACCATCCTTCACAGTTAGCTACCGTGGGAAAATCTCTGTTTCAGAGAGCGCGCGGGATCTGTGACGAGCAACACCTGGCCGGAGAACTGCAACATGTCAAGCAAGTTCTGCGTGACAACAAGCTGCAAGTGCCGCGCCTGCGTCACAGTGACCGAGTGAAACCAGCCACAGTCGAGCGCGTCCCTGCAGTCTTGTATGAACGGCATGTATTGATCTAATCACTATGTCCAACCAAATCACCCGGAGTTATGAGAACTCATTTTAAGTAATTGCAAACAAGTACAAACAATGATTAGATTATAAAACCTACATTATAAATTCTACTGTAACCTCGTACGCTTATTTTGTTACAAAAAGTTAACAATGTTGCGTGATCCGAGTTTATATTTTTGTTACCTACGTTTAGTTTATGCCCTTCATATTCATCTGTTTAGCTTTATTAACACATATTAGCTCATTCAATGTTTTATGTACATAACTTATTTTTATTCTACTTTCTAATTAATATGAACGTTTTGGATATATTTTTTCATATTTAACATCCATTCCTAACCACTATGAGACAAGCAAAATATAAAAATTTTGCTTTTACATTTACTAGTTAACATTTTACATTGCTAGACTAAATATAAATAATAAAATATATGTGTCAGCTAAAAAGACTACTGGCATTTATCAATTATAAAGTGGTATATTAAGCGATCACATTATTTTCTATAGAACAATGAAATATATTGGCTAAATTAAGTATATTAGAGCACTTAAAAATTGAAACATGGAGACCTTGTTAAAATTTAAAAAGCGAATAAGAAAAGAGGCAATAAGAGGCTAGGCCTTGAAAGAGATAGTCAAGTATTTCATGTATTTCATGTAAAAATCGAATTTATGGTAGTTACTGGCTTCATTATGAAATGATATATTTCATTAAAAAAATGTAAGCCTTAACTCAAATTACGGCTACTTCTTATTTATTTCAAAATATATTTAACGTTTAAAAATCACACTTCTTGGGTGTCTTTTGATAATTAATATAGAGATAGAATTGACAGAGTTAATAACATTGACAGTATAAGAGTACCTATATAAAAGTTACATACATATTATGTTTGTACGTAATTTATCTATGGGACAGGTATGCACAAATATTTTATTTACGTGCATTCTAAGTGCGGTTGATTATCGTAATACCTATCTCATTTACTGCTAGTGGCGCATTGTCTTCTTACCTAAAGCGCGTATCTACATGTATGTACGTTATACTCGTACGATAATACTACGTGGTTTTAAGGTAGTATATTAGTGTTACATATTAATAATACATAACGATTACCGCTACGACAATGTTACTACATTGTCGTTCTAACACTTATAATATTGAATCTTAAAACTAATGTAAGTATATACCTACTACACATAAAATAAGAAATACTATGTTCTCTACACAAGCTACATACAAATGTGTAGATCACGAAGAATAATTACTAACTTTTAAGCTTTTAAAACTTATTGAAGATGCTATCTTTTAACTTTTAAGTAAGTCACAATTTCCTTAGGTTTATTATTACCTAAATACCTTATAAAATAAAATAATAATACCTTTAATACTTTCTTAGATTTACGCAAATATTTGACATTTTAAATAAAACTATCTTTTCGGATTATTTCGCGGATTTATTTTGATTTTTGGTTTTTGGTGCAATTTTCATTTTGTTAATTGTGGGTAGGCTGTCTGTAACAACTAAACCTTCAAGACATGTAACACCTCAGTCTCTCCCGTGACCATGGATGCTGTAAAGCATTCGAAACGTCGGGAACCAAAACTCAAAATAAATCCGCGAAATAATCCGAAAAGATAGTTTTATTTAATAATACCTTTATAAAATAGTAGCGGCTCACCCTTGCTTCGCTCGGGTTCGTCCCTAGGTACGTTTTAATAGTTAGTACGAAATACAAATCTTTGAATTTCTCGGCTTTTCTATACTATAATATGCATGTATTATAAATATAAACCTTCCTCTTGAATCACTCTATCTATTACTGAAAACTGCATTAAAATCCGTTGAGTAGTTTAAAAGATCTAAGCGGACAGACAGAGGAAGCGACTTAATTTTATACTATGTAAAGATATATAAACCTTTTAAACTATATTCAATGTTTATGTTAACTAAATCCAAAAACAGTCTTTCAACAAAATAGTAATTATATTATCAATGTCATTATAAGAAATATTTGATGTTTTATCTGAAATTTAAATTTAAATGAAAATATATCTAATGCAAAAATATCTATATAACTTGAATGTCCTTCATAATATTTCTTTAAAATATTTAGTGTTTGTGATTGGTTGAAGAGATTAGATTTTAGGTAAATATTATAGCTCATTAAAGCTCATCTCTATCAGCTCATTATTAAAGCTCAATTTGAAGCATACAGCTTCAAATTGAGCTTTAAGGAAAATAGAGGTATCGTCAAAACTATTAATTTTTATATAGAAACTAATCTTCAGTAGGTCATCGTCAGTGTTTGAAATGGCTTGATTTTATTTGCTTTATAGCCCTTCTTCCCATCTTGACTTCCAAACTTTGACTTACCTTGCGCTTAAAGACATTTGCCACCGTCGACGACTCCTGTAGAAGTAAATTGTTTGTAAAGTAAATTTTATTTCATTCTTTAAAAAAATAGCAGAATCAGCAGGAGTTTACCTTTTTCTGGTTTATTGATTTTTTCAGTAGACTCACTGTGGACGTCTTCAGTTTGAGGATCTTCGGATTTACCGCTCGCCTCTTTTATCGATACACCTGCTTCCTCTAACACAGTTGTGTCTTCTATGAGCTCATGACTGAAAAGTGCTGATAAATTAGATATTTAGCTTAAAAAATAATTCAATAAATTGTTGCCATAATAACAAAATTTACACTATCTCAACCTTATTCTCATACTGCTGCAATTTTTCCTGATTTTCAGCAATCTCGTCGATACATTTTCGAAACAAATCTATTTCTTCTTCAGTTAGTTGTTCGCTAAAATATAAGATTCAAAATTAACAAATGATTTTATAAATATAATTGTATATAATATGTATCTATACTTATAATAATTTCTATCCATACGTTCGCTGAAGGCTGGTTATACTGAATGTACTATGCACAATCGTCATGTTGTCAGTAAGGATTTGACCTAAAAGCAATTCAGAAATATATTAGTATCAATTATTCTTAGCCTTATATTATTAAATAAATACATATTTTTTTATAAATGATGAATTAGCTATATCAAAGTTTAACGAGTTTGATAAAAATCAAGTTGCTTGATTCACTTTTATTTTATTTTTAAATTGAAATTATTCATGTATACCTGTTCAAAGGTTCGTTCATTTAATGATTTAATTCAGGTCAGTAGTGAACAAAGTGGCCGCAACTGAAAATAAAATGGCTGGACTTTAAAATGAAAATGGCGGACCGAGGTTCTGAGACCTTTAGGTACTCAAGAGTAGTTGCGCATGTGCGAACTTTAGTGAGATATATTTATCTAAAATATTGAAAACCAATAATTCCTTTATTCAAATAATTTAAAATTATTACTTATTTTTATAAATTATGGTTATGGTAAGTAGATAATATATAAGCGTATCTACTCCCCCTTGGTACTTTTTATGAAATCTTTTAATAACATGTACAACAAACTAGTTAAGGTGACCCTTAAAACTTCAGTTATGTAGAATGTATGATCGATATTTGCGCATGCTCATTAAAAATATTGGCAACCATCTTGATTAAATGCGCCGATAATAAATAATAAATGCGCATCAAATACCTGCATCAGTCATTAATGTCATCAAAACGGCGTCCATTGCAATCCATGTTTGGATTCTAGATTCACTGAGATACTTTTTTTTTGTTAATACTTGAATTTAGACTTTACAACATATCGTCCAATTTTATAGAGGTATTATTATTGTCGTTCTCGTTGTATTAGTATGGCATTATTTGGATCTTCCCCTTGTACTATTGCTCTGTTAGCTACATAGGTAATAAATAAATACACAAATAAATTATTAAGTCGAAGCTGGTATAACAGCACATCTCATAATACTCCGATATAATACCACAAACTTTAAGTATAATTACCTTTGTCACTTATATAGTTCATAAGAAGACATATCAGATATATTAAAATATCCCTAGCTTTAGCTAGACTAAAGCCATCTATACATATTATAGATTATAGATAATAAAATTCGGAGTCGAATCTGTACATATATTTTTTTGGAAAATCCCATTGAAATAGTCATTATTATAGATACAGAGGCCGAATCTATAGTTTTTAGAATTTTTGTCTGTTTGTCTGTATGTCTGTCTGTGAACGATTCACGAGAAAACCACTGAACAAATTTTGATGAAATTTGGTATGGATAGCTGATTATCCGGATCAACATATAGGATACTTTTTACTGCGGTAAAATATATCGTCTCTGAGAAATCTATACGGACTAACCGTTAAAACGTAACTAGGGACGAACCCGAGGGGAGCCAGGGCGAATCGCTAGTCTGTTTATAAAAGTTAAGATAGGTACTTCTACATAAATAATAATATGGACGATACATGAACATTGAAACTTATGCGCACCATTTTGATTTAATGCACCGACAAGTACTGCAATCTAAATGGCCGCATATACACAGCCTTTATACATCTAAATGGCCGCATATTCTTTAGTACCCACTAGGTACCTACTTATGTATAACAGCAACTTTTTTTTATTTATTTATTAAGTTGTTTTTTTTTTATTTTAATCATAGAAGTACCTGTACAATACTCAATGCTATTTTGATTTTGTGATTTATGAAAATATATAGATTTTTTATTACGTAACGTTCCTTAAGATTTAACTCTACAAATTGAAAATATTTGCCGAATGAAAAAAATAAAAAAAGTAGGATAAGCAATGGATAGCTAATATAAAATTATATTTATATTAATAGTTGTTATCTGATAGTATCTAAACAATTCACCTAAAATTTCTATAACTAAATATTTTAAAACAAAATATTACCTATGGTATAGGGTCAAGTTCGTCTACTTTTGTTATAAATCTAATTTTAAATGATAAACAAAGAATAACAAAATGTGTGTAGGTACATAAAATATTAATATTCTATCTAGTAAGTTTGAAAACGTATAATATGCCTCCACGACCGCGGACACGCCGGCGTGTCAGTTAACAATAGATTTCTTAGAATTTTAATTAATTTCTTAGAAATTTACCTGGAGGTCATATAATTCTAAATAGTTAAAATGAACGACAAAACTTCAGATATTCCAATTCACTTTGAAAACCAATAATGAAACTTGTTTAAAAACAACCACTAGCTGCTTTTTTAACAGCTCAACCACTAATGTGGATATTTCAGGCGCCGCCCCCCAGCCAGATTTCACGCAACAATTTTGCGCAGATCGATGTTTGAAGAACTAGGTTTTGCCATTGTTTGAGAGGTAGGTCATGACCCTTATGCCCTTTTCTAGAAATTTCCATTTACTATCCCAGTTAACTAATCCATGCAAATTTAATGGTTTTAAATACTCATTAATTAAGTTTTAATTTTTCAGAATGCTTTGTATGTAAGTCTAAGAAAATTAGTATTTTTATTAATAATTAAGTAATATATGAAACGCAATATTTAATTATAACTCTATAGATATCCGGCCCCCAGATACTGCGACAATCGATCGCATTGCAGATATCAGAAGTGCCGCCCTCTAAAAAAGCTTCCCATAGTTAAAAGTGCATCTATCTTGCACAGTTGAAGTGCAGCGGCGAAGCTGAAATATTGCCTATCATTTGCTCGTTAGAATCAAGTTCAAGATAGTTGTGTGTTAGATTTCGTGGTTCAGCAAAGGCCCTACGACCCAAAATGATATTTCGTATTATAAAGTATTTTTATGAAATTATGTTCATGATTATATCATCTTTTATTTTCCGGATAATAATACTTCTTGCTTTGCTCAAGCAAAGACTGGAGGTTTTCTATAATTATCATCGCATCAACCGAGACTTAACTAAAATGAGATTGGATGCGGAGGAACAAGACGAAGATATTAAAAAAATGGAAAGGCTAAAGAACTGGTTTATAAATACGGAGAAAATATTGCAAGACAAGAACATGACTTTTAAAGACTTGGAAAATATAGCTAAAAAAAAGAAACAACAATTGAATAAAGCTACCTAAGCTCAATGCCAAAGTGGTGTATCATGTGATCATACTAATATATTTAAATAATATAAATGGAAACTGTATCTATGACTTTCATCAATTTTTGTAAACTCCATGTCTCTCGCTATCCTATGAATGTCTTAATTTTTTGGAAGGCGGATATTCGAGAGATGACGCGGAAGACGGCACGAAGGACACATTTTTCTCCTTTATGTCGGAAGTGCAAAGGAATGAAGACCAGTACCATGTAATTTTGAAGAATTTACAAAAAATATTTTTAAATGTTAAGTTGTTCCGCTCAAAAAAAATATTACTATACTAATATTGTGGAAATGAAATATTTTGTAAACATATTTTTATATACCTTCTTCGATTTTTTGAGAACTTTTATTAGCTTAAGTAATAATTTATAATTTTAAGTGCAGTTGTGGAAATCTCTCGAATTGAATGGATATGTATTTTTATAAAATATCAGTTCTTAAACTTAAATTGTCTCAACTTTAGAGTACTTTACGGCATATATATTGGTGTCATTGTTATCTTAATATTTTAGAAATACCATAAGTGTCTACTACTATTTCTAACGTAATATTATGTCGGTCTGAAGCATGGGCATAATCCTCAGATTAATCGATTCAATACTCCGTGTTAGTTGATGTGTATCTAAATAAATGTCCTTAAATCTCTGTAAACTTTATAGTGTAATACAATACTTGATGTCTAAGTGTAACAGTCCATTACGTGATGTTATCAATGTCTAATAAACTGATTTTCTGTTTCTAAATGGATTCAATAAATTGATGTATTAAAATGAATTTGGTTTTATTTCCCTCGTCCAGCAGAGCAAAGTACTACTAACTCTGCAAAACTTATGGAGTTATAATTCTGCAAAGCGATTTTTTTCATGAGCTTGGCCTACATGCGAATTTCATATGATACATACATTTTGCGATTGTTGGCAAATCTTTTAAGAGCTTGAAATTAAAAAATATAAGCAGTGCACATTTACATAGCATTCAAGTACAGTTCTTGTTTCTTAGTAATATTTTAATCCTTTCTTATCAAAACAGTCCGTTAATATGGTATTTTGCTTTAAAATATGGCGGGTAAAATCAATACATGGCATCGTTTCATTTCACGCTTCATTTTTATTTTGATTCTTAAATTAGTGAGTAAGTAATATCTCCGGCGATTGTTCATTGATATTCATTAATTAAAAACGATATTTTTTTCTTGCATATTTATCGCATTGTTCTTATACCGCATTTTGCGATATGTAATTTTGTAAGAATATTCAGTCTTCTGTTAAAAACTATACTATTTTTTAATTATAGCATGGTGCTGGTGACATTAGACAAACCTTTCATTTGCACTGATAAGTTCTTATAAACATGGTATAATATTTTCGTTCTAACCTAAATGAGCGGATGTACTAAATCTATAAAAAAATACTATGAGATTTTTAAGGTTCTACTGGGACGTTGAATAAAAGTAGACCTGGTTTATTGCCGTTATACAATGGTGTTAATTTTTTGAAAAAACTCAAAAAATGTAAAAAAGCAGCCGTTTTTCGCCCGGTTTTGGCGAGAAAAAAATTCATATCTCGGAAACGAAATGAGATATCGAAAAAAACCCTTGAGAATTTTGGGCTACATTTAAAAAATATAGGTTATACAGAAGTTGTACTTTTGTGACGCGGAGTGTACGCGCAGAGAGCGCGTGAACGCGGTAGTTACGATGAAGAAATATTATACATATATATGTACGATCGTTATTGGTTTGAACGCTTCCGACATGGACATTTTGATCTAGAAAATGAACCCCATGGACGCCCTAAAAGTATAATCAACAACGACTAGTTAAAGGCAATAGTGGAAGCTGACGATACTCAATCTACTTTTCAACGTTAGCATCAAAACAATATTGGTCCATTTGCGTCAAATTG